GAGGATTCTCAGGCGAGTAACCCGTCCCATCCTCGGAGGTCATCATTGCTTGCCAATCGACCTCATCAGGCGACTGTCCCTCCGACGCTTCTTGTCGGAAAAAGAACTCTGCTACATCCGAAGGCGCCGATACGCTAGGAGCAAATGGGAAGAGGAGAGCGAGATCAGCTCCTGTTCGGAGGTTGAAGTCCTCATCCTGGCTAATCCGTCCTCGCTGGACACCGACCTCATCGCACAGTCGCTCAACCGTCTCAGCGTCGCACCCTGGAAATCGCACTCGGATCGTGGATCTGTCATGTAAAGAGATCGGCAGATCACCCAGTGAGGATAAACGCTTGAGGTCATTGAGTACGGCAGCCAAATCTTTCAGAGCACGTGCGAAGTCGGCAGAAAGGAAGCACAAGGTGTCCGAGTTCAACGTTTCCACGTGGTAGACACCGGCTGAGGCAGCCTTTTTCTGACGTCCAAAGGCTGTAATGGTTGGAGAAATCTGAAAGTCGATGAATGAACCGGAAGCCGTGCGAGGGATCGCCGCCATTTTACGCTCAGCCTGGTCTTGGAGCGCGCTCACAGCCTTGTACCGCTTCTGTCCCGTAATAGGGTCGATGCCGTCAAAACTGGCTTTCTGGCCCGAGAGGAAAAAGGCTCGCACACCCATTGACACATTGTTGATCACCTGCGCAGGAGAAGCCGGGCCATGTGAAAAATAACGGGCACCACCAATACGTCCGGCACCAATGGTATAGCCTCCAGCCGTGCGGCCAAGAGCGCCGCCGGTCAAGTTGGGGCGGAGAGTCGACGCAAACGGGGCACGACTAGTCAAGCGACCGATATTGGCTGCAACACGAGATTGGCGATACGCAGCGTGATCCCCCTGCAAGACATTCTTGAAAGAGGAAACGAAGGAGTTTGCAGCACGAGTAGAGAAATAGCGATTGCTGCGGGATTGGCGGATAGCGGCAGCTCGGCTGATGGGCTGACGGGTAGGAATACGTGCATAAGCTGGTTGAAGCCGAAGCGAAGTTTGCTGAGTCGGCTCAGGAAACTTGGCCTTGAAGGTCTTCAGGGCCTTCTCATAGGCGAACCTGGGGAGAGTCAGCCTATCGAAGTATACCTCTATCAAGCAATGAGAACTCACCTTGCTGCTCTCCAGAATTTCGGGAGCAACAGGTGCCCACTGGAAGGCGGCATCCTGACGATGATAGAAAGGTGCTTCTAAAGAAGAATGGAGGATGAAAATACCATTCTCTAGATGGATTGATGATGGGAGTATTGATGATGAACGACGGTGCCTGGGGACCGATGACTCCCCACCGCGGTGGCGGTGCACCTGATCTGCTGACGCCACGTGCTTATTGTTCTTCGGGGATCTTGCCACTGACATCTATGAGAATTATTCTCCAGTTAGAAATTTTTTACATTAATTACCTCTCTATTTAATGATATCTGGTAAATTACAAGCGCTGGAATTCCCTTGGGACGCGGATAGCACAATGTAACTGGGTATGACTTCATGTCTGACCTCTCGGATCTCTTCCAATTAGTACTTGCATAGCGAAGCAAAGCATGTTTTACAATAATTATCCGACTGTCAATGCCGGTGAGGAAGAGCGTTGAAGATTCAGTTCAAACTAGATAGGTGGAGGTATTCCGACAGACTTGGCTGGTAATCCTCTAATTCACTTTCAGCATTTGAGAGAATATACAAAGCAATCCGATCTATCAATTGATATTTAGACATGTCAAGCACAGTGACGTTTCAAATGATATGCGCATCATCAGTAAAGAAACATTTATTCGTCATCGCCAAAGAAAACCTTGACGGGCAGCCAGCTGTCACCACAGACCTTGAAGCGGTCCTTGAGGTTATCCAATTGATTTACCTCGTCGGCTGTAAGATCCCAGCCATCGAGCTCGAAGTTCTTCGAAATCCGCTCAGATTGAACTGACTTTGGGATCACACTCCATCCCTTCTGTAGACCCCATTGAAGCAGAACCTGCTGAGGGGTCTTACCCTTCTTTTCCGCAATTTGCAAGAGAGTCTGGTCCTTGTACAAAGGAGAGTTTGTTGAGCCAAGGCAAGAGTAGCCGGTAGAATGAATGCCCTTGGAAGTGTTGTAGGCCACGAGCTTAGGCGAGGGGTTGTTCGGGTGCAGTTCAATCTGGTTGACTGCGGGGACAATCTTGGTGCTTGGATCATTGAGAAGCTTCTCAAGGTTTCTGATTCCAAAGTTAGAGACACCAATGTTGCGGACCTTGCCGGTGGCTGGCAGTTTCTGCATCTCTTGCCTATGGTACTTGTTATTATACCACCATTCCTTATTGAAAAATCCCGGAAGCTTACCATGTCTTGATGAAGTCCCAGTCAGGAAGATGCTTCGACTTGTCATTGGGATCGGTCGAGCATGGCCAGTGCATAAGATAAAGATCGACGTAGTCGACACCAAGGCTCTTGAGAGACGACTCAATTCCCTCCTGGACACGGTGATGCCATGTGTTATCAAGCTTGGTGGTTATCCAGATCTCTTCGCGGGGAATACCCGAGTCCCTGATGCCCTGGCCTACCTCAGCTTCGTTACCGTAGGCGAGGGCACTATGATTGGTCAGTCCGCGCAGAACTTTATGCATGTTGAACAGAGGCGCATTCAACTCACGTGTCAATATGGCGGTAACCCTTCAACAGAGCGGTTTTGACGGCCTCTCTTACTTCGTTGGGCTTAGATTGCCAGGTACCGAGACCGATTGCGGGAATCTTGTCGCCCGTGTTCAGGGTGTAGGTCTTCCTACAGATTGGAAAATTGTTAGCGAAGCAATTCTCATGCACATCACCATCTCACGATCACGTACTTGGTATGCTCGAGAGTCGACATTTTGCACGAATGGACAAAGAATATACTAGCTGGTGTTCTGGACTGGAATGCAGCTGCAGCAAGGAATGATGGTCTCGGTAAAGAACATGGAAGACAAGGGGTGAAAGAGAGATTTATAATCTGGCTTGAGCTCCGAGCCGCGAGGAACCGCATAGTTAGGCAGGTCCAAGCAGTAGGCTATGACGCTATACGAGCTACGATGGGCGGAGTTGCCCCTCTCAAAGAGTGGGGGAGCATCGGTAGATATGTCTGGCCAGCATGGGAGCAATTATCCGAGCGGTATGCCTCTTTATCCAGGCATTCTTCGTGCGAACAAATAGCAGAACCTATATCGAAAGACAAGGTTTGAAGATCCAGTGTAAAGCATAGCATCTATCGATTCAATTGTTAGTAAGCGAGCAAGAGAGGCCAGGAATGTCAGATAAGCATTTCAGGCTGTGAACCACCTGCAGTATTTGGAGTAGTCCCAGCTTATCTGGGTCGGGACCTCGCAATGTTGCATTGGCAAAAGTCCGGTGAGTGGGCCTGCACCCACATGCATTTTGCCTAAAAATGGACTTGATTAGAAGGTGCTTAGTACAAGGCGGTGACGACAATAGTAGCCATTCACCGCCTCATTTCTGCCCGACTATCACAATAGTACCACAACGCAACCTCAAGATTCTCCCTGCACCATCCGCGCCGAACGACGCAAATCCGCTAAGCTCGAATATTCCTTAATAACGTGTCGTCACTGATTGCTGGTAAGTGATCATTACGTTTTTGCCGTCACATCTGCATCACACTTCCGGAGTAGCCTGCATCTACAGACACAGAGCTCCCATACCAAGGGGAAGTAGTCGAGATGTCGTCTGGTTTCGTGGCTGCCGGAACCGATCAGGAGCCAGTAGAGCGTGATGATGAATGGCGTCGTGCACAGCAGGAATTGGAGGAGGAGCGGAGACGCAAGGCGGAGCTAGGCAGGCAGGAGGGCGGGAAAAGTCTGTATGAGGTCTTGCAGCAGAACAAGAGTAAGTTACCACATTTCGCAAAGACCGCTTGCGGTACTTTATTGGATGGATTCCGTTTGGACTGACATGTTAGGATGATTGTTCTGCTGCGTAGTGGCCAAGCAGGAAGCCTTTGAAGAAAAGATAAAACTGAAGAACCAGTTCCGGTCTCTGGACGAGGACGAAGTGGAGTTCCTCGACTCCATCATGGAGTCGACGCGTGCTCAAGAAGCGGCCGTGAAGAAAGAGACCGCAGAACAGCTTGAACTATTCCGTCGGCAGCGAGAAGAAGCAGAGAAAGCTTTACTGGAAAATTCATCAACAGATGTTGTGCCGTCCAATGATGGAGAGGACTGGAAGATTCCTGCACGAAAGAGACGACGGGATAAAAGCAAAGAACTCCTGATACCAGGCAAAAAACGGAAATCCACAAGCGAAGGGGCTGCTGAACGGCCTTCACCCAGCGAAAGTAAAGCAGAGGCTCCCAAAATGCAATCTCCTTCGAAAGACAGCAAAATACCGGCCGCTGTTGAAGTACCACCGGTTGCAGAGGATACCAAGACGACAAAATCCTTAGGGACCTCGTCTACGTCAGACACGCAAGGCGCGAAAGCAAGCCTGCCAGCGGCGCCAGCTGCAAAATCATCTACATTGCCCCTCGGGCTAGCCGGGTATAGTTCTGACTCTGAATGAACATGATCTCAAACTTATTACACTATAACTACGTCGGTTAATTGGAATAGTTCCTCTATTCAACATGAACACCGGTTTGTGGAATTGTTCAGTAGACACCTCGTTAACATCCACCTCCGAGGAGGCAATCTATTACACTTCTCTTAAATACGCATGGCAGTGCCGCTTTACCTTCTTCTACTTGCAGTCAGGTACTCAAGTGAACACAAATTACTCATACTTGCTGTTCATTATGATGCCTGAGATATCGGTCAAAAGCTAACCGTCTTAGATAGTCCATGTACATTTTCTCAGTTCGTTGACAAAGTGTCAACGAAAAAACAAGATACCAGACATTCTCACTTCACCTCAGACATACACAGCTCGAGAAACCTGCCAACAGATCGTGAAAACAGCTGTGTTCCTCACTCCCCGGCTAGCTGCGCTCTCCTCGTCATTGTCACAGAGTTCACTCGTGATGTGTTGCAAAAACAGCCTGTTTCTCTACCTGTTCCTCGACCTTGCGCTCCAAGTCGTGCGGGGTATAATCCTCCTTGCGAGTACCAGGCACGATCCAGGGAGCGTTGGAGAACAGGTAGTTCATCTCCTCGAGAGGCAATTTCTTGGTCTCGGGAAGGAGCAGCCAGAAAAACAGTGCATTAGTGAAATTGCAGATGATGAAGAGATAGTAGTAGCGGTAGCGGATATTTGTCATGGCGATGGGCGTCACTTGACCGATCATGGTGTTGAACGCAAACGATGTCATTGTGGCAATGGAAACACCCTTCGAACGTGTCCGTGTGTCGAAGACTTCGGCAGGGATAATCCACGAAAGGGGACCGCAGGTGCACGAGAAGGAGAAGTTGTACAACCAGGTCATGATGATGAAGCCCCAGTGAGCACCGGTGTTGTTGGCTTCAGGAGGGAACCGCGCCAGCAGGATGCACGCGATGATGAAGGTGACCATGTTGCCCAGATTGCCACCGATGAGAGTCCAGCGGCGGCCGAAACGATCAATGAACGCCATGCATAGGCATTCTGCGACCAACGCAATAATTGAATTAATAGCCTGGTACTTGAGCGTGTCGTCGCCCGCAATGCCGATCTGTTTATAGATGGTCACAGAATAGTATCTGCAAGGTTTTCATTGTTAGAACCCACTGCTCATTGTCACATACGGAGCATACTCACTGGATAGCTGAGACACCAGTCATTTGCACGGACGCCTGCACAGCACAGCATAGGAAAAGGCGGCGGAAGGACGACCGATTAGTGAATAACTCACTGTAGGACTTGGCCTCATGCTCGTGCTCATACACAATGCTCTCCTGAATCTGATTGTACTCTGCGCGCACCCACGCGTCATCCTCGTTACCATGAGCATGGAGCTTTGCGAGGGTCGCCAAGCCCTTTTCGTTGAAGCCATGGTCGATGAGCCAACGAGGTGACTGCTCTTGTGTTAGCATCGCATTGTATAAAGAAAACATTCCATCTTATTACCTCAGGAAAGAACATAATCAGTAGACCCAGGATGACTGCAGGGGCAATCTGCAGACCAAGTGGAACTTGCCACTGGGCGTTGTTCGTTGGATGAAATCCGACGTAGGTACCATACGAGATCCACGCGGCACACAGCGCACCGACACCCAACATGAACTGCTGCAAGGACGTTACACGGCCTCGAATCTTGGGGTGGCAGATTTCGGCTTGGTACAGGGGAACGATCATGGTGAGGAAACCAACCCTGGGTTCTCCATTAGCAAGGTCGCCCGGTCTATTTGAGGGGATTCAACCTACCCAAGCCCGGCGAAGAATCGTCCGGTGTACAAGTATGCAATGGTCTGAGCACCAGTTTGAAGACCTCCTCCGAGGCAGAAGACGAGGCAACCGATCGCGATGGTCCATCGTCGTCCCAAATAATCACCGGTGGGACCAGCAAACCCTGCGCCAAAGAACGCTCCCGCCGTAAACATGGACACTACCAATCCACTACGCAGGCGTCAGACTTCATGAGCCCTCTAACCAGCAAAGGCAGATACACTCACGTTTGCGTGTCATTTGCGGTAAACTTTGCCTCGAAAGATTGGCACGCAATGACTTCTGCAATGACACCCAAATCATCTTGACACCGCAGATCAGCACTGTAAACACTTCAACTCCAGTAGATAGGATACATACAGCCGAAAAGGAACGAACCCAGGGAGGCGAAGACGCCCACCAGGAACTAGTCGACAGGTCAGTATGGTGTCAGGTACCTCAGGCATTGGGACACATACCTGGTACCACGACGGACTCAAGCGCATGGTCAACACCAATAAAGGATCTTGATTAATAGTGACAATGACTGTTCCTCTGGGGAAAGACAAAAAAAATGCGGAGAATGAAAAGGATCGTCCTGGGGGTACTCCGCAGGGCCTTTTTAAGGATATCTACTCCATACTGGGGTTCAGAACCACGCAATAGAGTGGTAGCACCACGCGACGCAATAAAGCCAATGCCATATTGTTTATCGTGCAGCAACGATCTCTCGCGAAGCTTAGAACACGAATATCCGGTGGAGTAATTGCCAAAACGGCAAGTTTCCTTGATCCTGGCACCTCACGCGGAACCTTCAAATTCTGAGCAGACTGGCTAACCGCGAGACCAACAAAATCCTGGAGAAAAGCCAATCGCTCTTAAACCCATGGCAAGGAAAAGTCAAAAGACAGACATACCTGGGCTATGCGGGGAGCTAGTTTCACGGTCTGAAAGTGAAAGCAACAAATCAGAGTAGAGCAGAACAAGAAACATCACCAGGAGAGCAAGCAAGCTGATTGATGGAACAACTGGTGGCGTTCCCTCGGCACCAACACTAAGGAGGCATCCCCGGCCAACTGCTCCAGTTGCCATCTCCTCCTCAGTGGAATCATCGTTTAGAGGGCCTGGAATTTCCCCCGCAGGGAATTTGCCCAATTCAATAATAATGGAGCGACGGCTGAGGATAAATGCAGCATACAAGCTGGAGTTTCACAGCGCCTTATCGAGACGTCGAAATCCGTTGCGCTTGCTTCGGATAATAGTACTGATTCCTTGTCATTCCTTCTTCTCAATCTGTCGTTCCTGTTGGGCTTTGAGATCTCTTAGTCCTTGAATATACTTGACTCATTTTGCGGGGATTGTTGACTGCCAAATCCCATCATGACTACCTTCACGAAGCTCAGTGAGCAGGAGACGCCTAGTATCTCCATTCATGCATCGCGACGCATTTCCAAGATCAACCCTAATATCTATGCCGGGTTCACAGAGTAAGATCAATCCATGCTTGATGCTTAGACATTGCAACTGTCGCTACTCCGAGAGCTGTGCTAACCTATGACCTCAGACATATGGGCCGATGCATTTATGGAGGCATCTATGACCCAGGCAATCCTTTGTCGGACGAGAATGGCTTTCGTAAAGATGTACTGGAAGCCCTCAAGGAGCTGAACATCCCGGTTGTTCGTTACCCTGGTGGTAATTTTACGGCTACCTATCACTGGCTTGATGGTGTCGGTCCTAAAGATCAACGGCCTGCAAGGTAACTGCATCTCCAGCTAGAGCTCCGAGATTATTTTTTTGAACGTATAGTTAACCCAATCATGGATCTACAGACCTGAGCTGGCTTGGCTGGGAACCGAGAGCAACCAGTTTGGAACAGACGAGTTCATGAAGTGGTGCGAGCTTCTTGGAACTGAGCCTTACTTTTGCTTGAACTTTGGCACAGGTACGATACGGCCCAGCTGTTCTATAATGCGAATGCTGACAATTCTCCAGGTACCCTTGATGAAGGTAGAGAGTTTCAGCTCCGTACTTCCTTTCCGCTTATACTAATCTGACTATCTAGCCCTTGCGTGGGTTGAGTACTGTAACGGTACAAAAGACACTTATTATGCCAATCTCCGGAGGAAGAATGGCCGTGAAGAGCCTTATAACGTATGTCATCTGTACTACTGGTCATATGCCAGACACTAACATCAACCCTCCAGATCAAATACTGGGCTCTTGGTAACGAAGTGTGGGGACCATGGCAGGTCGCGCAGATGACCAAGGAGGAGTACGCTCACAAGGCCTACCAGTGGGCAAAGGGTGAGAACTCATTCACTTCGACTCCGAAAGGACCAACCAGTCACTCTAATATTCTTTATAGCGCTGAAGCTGCTTGACCCCACTCTGAAGTTGATCCTCTGTGGCCAAGACGGCACTGCCTCATGGGACTACTACACACTGAAGCAGTGCCTGCTTCCCGCTCACTCGCCTCTCTCTACTAGCACCGTTCCTCTTATCGACATGCACAGTATCCATATGTACACCTGCGGTTCAACTCATCTCCCCAACGTCACTGCTCCACTCGCCGCTGAACGCGCTATCGAGATTACCTCATCCCTCATCGACCTTGCCATGATTGAGAACGGTGTTCCTCCTGACCAGCCGCGGCCCACAATCTGCTTTGACGAGTGGAACGTGTGGGACCCCCTGCGCGCTGAGGGCAGCAAGGGCGCCGAGGAAAGCTATACCCTCTCCGACGCTCTAGCCGTGGCCATCTGGCTCAACGTCTTTGTGCGTAAGAGCAAAGACGTCGGGATGGCCTGTATTGCACAGAGCGTCAATGTCATCTCCCCATTGATGACGACCAAGGAGGGTATCATAAAGCAGACTATCTGGTGGCCCTTGTACCTGTTCTCGAAGTATATGCGAGGCTGGACCATCAATGCGCATGTCTCTTGCGGTGCCTATGAGGGCGAGACGAGTCCCAAGTGGGTCCGCGCCGTCAAGGACACTCCCTGGCTGGATGTCAGTGCCACCTTGGGAGAGGACGGATATGTTAATGTTGCTGTCGTCAACATCAGCGACGAAAAGGATATGGAGTGCAAGTTCGAGGGGGCTACTGGTGATGTCACTGTATTCACCGTCACTGGAGACAGTGTCTCGGCCTGCAACATGAAGGGAACAGAGGAAGTTGGCCTGACGGAAAGCACTTGGGACGGCAAGGGTGCCTACAAGTTCCCCAAGCACTCGTTTACTCTACTTAGATGGAAGGCAGAGTAAGTTTAGAGCTCTGACGGACGACACGAAATCTCCTTCTTCATATCGTTGTTTGGTCGGATCCTTTCGGCCTAGAGATGCTATACGGGAATATAGAAATGGGGCATGATAGACATCACATGACATTATTTCATCAATCTAAGACATGTCTGATCACAGGTGATTAGGAGTAAGACTTTCGTATGATCTAAACAATCAACCATGATATTGCCATATCGTAACTCAACCAAAGTGGACATCCTTGACTTTATCCTCCTCGTCGAGATGGATGTTGAGTCTGACAAATAATTAGTCATCAGCGATTGTCCATATCAACACAGACATAATGACCACGCAGGCATGCATACCTTTCCGGTCTATGGTCCATAGTCATCCCGTCACCGGGGCGAAGGACTCTATGATGTTCGGGTAAATCCTTCTTCGCAAAGGTCTGTCCACCATCAGCAACACAATTCACGAGTAGAGTAAAATAGTCCAAAACCGCACATTCACATCGCTTGTAGAGTCACTGATCTTTTTGCCGGCGAGCTTGCTGAGCCATTCGTTCTTATCAGAACCCATGTCCGAGTTGATTCCTGGGACGACGAGAGGCATGTTGGACTGTGTTTGTGTAAAGAATGTTCGTATTATTGATTTGTGAAAAGGGAAGGGTTGATACTTTCTCATTCAAGTCGGTCTTGATGATGATTTCTGGTGGTGTATTCTCAAATTCTGGGGATTTATATAGCTTGAAGGCAGCAATGATAAGCGACCATGACGTCGTTTGTGGAGAAGCAGGCATCTAGATCTATATATCCTTTTTGGGCTTAGTGTATCTGTCGCCATGATTATGATTTCAACATCACGTGCTCTGTCGTGTCTGAAAATATGTTAAGAAGATGGAAGGATTCTGTCACTTAGTGAAGACTATTCAATGGCATATAGAGACACACAAACCACTTCTTAACTATCTATATTATCTAAAGAGACTTGAAAGACCATATGATGATGACATGGATACAAAGCCATTGCAATGAGGTGTCCGAGATGTCCAGTCCTGGGCATACCGCAACTCAACTCGCTTGTCTCATCCTGTGCCTTTTTAGAGCTATAGAGATTAGGCATGATTTGATGCTGATATCCAGCGTTGCGTTTGTTTGTTGAAAATGAACAAAATGCGCAGAAGGAAGCTGCGCCGATCACTTCCCTCGTGCCTGCTTTTACTGGCAGAGTACCAAGCCTCAGCTGCTCAGAGAGTAACAAGCGAATGGTATCCAGATCTCCCTTGTGGCGGTTCCTCCACTCACTGCAACTATGACTTGGGTGTGAGGATTTTATGGCGATCCTAGGTCGACCTTTTGTGAACCATGATGCAAAGACGCCTACTCGTCATGCTCGCAATACTTTGTAGTGCCATGTACACTCTCCAATCAAGCTCTCCCTTTGTGTGCTCTCCGGAACCTTCCATCGCTTCATCAGCATTACTACGGTCGCTATCCAGAGGGGTATCCGCATCGATACCATCATCAACCGCGCCGAAAGGGATTCGTTCATGGCCAAAGGATAGATGGGACAGCATCTACAATTTCTTCAAAGATAAACTGCATATTCAGCAACTGGGCCTTAGAGAAGATGACCGACTGAAAGTCGAGCTGAGCGATGAGGTCGATATATCGGACGATGCCAAGCGTTTAGATTTCACCATTGCCTCAGTGGAATCGACAAAACACCGATCATTGGCTGGGATGGAGACACGCGCAGAATCTACAAAGTTGCACAGGTTGGCTTCAAAAACCCATGGCACGCGTATGCCACCAGCAGTTTACAAGAGAACTGCGAGCTCAACAGTGGATTCTGTGACACCAACACCGTCACATAAGTCCTTTCTCAAGCATTGGAGCTACAAGAAGAGCTCCATTGCTGCCGCGGTGATATTCATAGTTATTACCACTGTGGCGTTTATAGCCCTGAGCGTCCTCCTCTTCAGAAGGCTCCGGCGATCCTGGAAGCAATACAAGAAAGGGAAACGCGATTTCGCGAATTCTAAATACGCTGCAATATCTCCTCTCGACGACAACATTGCTAACTACTCATTTGGCAGCACGCCGAAAATCAGACGCAGCCGCGAATTGTCGATATCTGACAAGAGCCGTCCAATTACTAAGACATACGTCGCGGAAGAGGCGACGAGACTCGAAGCGGTGACTCGAGCACTTTGCGCCCACGCAGATGCCGTGCCGGTTTCGCCTCTGGGCTCATTTGC